GGCTTGCTTTCTCTCAGGGAAAATCTGCGTAATGACAGTAAGAGGAGTTCAGATAAAAGTCCAATAACTGAAGTGTAACCACAATTATGTACATTTCAAACGATGTACATATTTTTTTGCAGTGCGCTTGAGGAATTTTAGAGCGTGGGACTTTCCGCAATGGAAAGTTCAAAGAATGCATTTGCTTCAGTTTGATTTGTATTGCAGTGAATGTGGCATTCACAATTAAAGCTATTGTTTTGAGGAATTCGATAGAAAAATATGCGGTAGGCCAACAAAAAACCTATAAAAACATAAAGTAAGCGGAATATTTTTGTAATTAAAGGCATAGACGGAAAGCAGTTTAAATTTGTCTGCAATAATATTGTGGCAAAGCATCCTAAAAGCGGATCCATACTAAACTTGAACTATTCCTCTCGCTAAGGCATTTTCCAGCAATTTGATTTACGACCCCGGAAACATTTAGTACGTGCACTTTAAGTTTCGCCAGACTTAAGCTTTCTTTTCCTTGGCATCCTGACCTTTCCTACATTTTCTGCGGCATTTGTTTTCCTTTGCGAGAATTTCTCGTGGCTGACCATCCGTTTGCATTTGTATCCAAATAGTTGGGTCAAAGTTTTAATTTGTTTGATACAAAATTGTTTTCGTGGCCTTGGTGCGGACAAAAAACACAGCTGCCTCCTGCGATAGTTTAATGATTCATGATTGGAAAGTAAAGTTTATGCTGTTCATGATTTGTGACGGGAGTTAGAAATAATTTATTACGCGAAAGGATAAGAAAAGTCGGGCAAAAGTTTGGCCAAGAGCGGTGAAAGTGAATAAAATTTCCCGGAGATAATTAATAATTGGGGTACTAGATCGATAAGTTATGGCCAGCATAAATCCACGAAATATATATTGTTTTTCCATTTTAAGCGGACTCAGCGGAAAACAACTTTCCAATTCATCTCTGATTGTGCGAGTGTATACATTTTTCCGGCGAAGGCAAGTTTAAAGGAATATTGAAAGAAATATGCGTGCACTCCTAATATAAATATCCAAGGGACTTGGTCGACTTGTTTCTCAACTTGGCCAGGAGCTCCTTTGCTTCCAGGTCGCTTCCTTGGCCTCTGATTACCTGGCAAATGCCTGGCCACATCAATCAATCGAGGCGGCAAAGTTTTATGCAACTTTCTGGTCCGTTGCGGTGTCTAACCAAGCCAATTAATTTGTGGTTTACATGCCATTCCGCTCGTCAATAAATAAAGTCCTCCCACCGCCCCATTTGCCACCGCACACCCCGGGGCCTTTTAATAGCGCCGCCCATGAATAATGAAGGCCCACACTGCCAATTTCCCCCAAGAAGCTTAAATGGCTGGGCGAACTGAGGGCACTTTGTGTAATCATCGGCACTGTAAGCCACGTAGCTCCTATTTGTGCGGACGGCAACGTTCGCATTCCAACGCATTATTCTGCTCACTTGTTGCAGCAACAGAAATCGGCACAAAAGTTTCGATTGAGGCATTTTTTCGGTTTAATTAACTGTTTTGTCTTTGTTCACATGCGCGTGTATGAGGCGATTGAATCAAAAGCAGCGAATCAAACAGATGTGAATAAATAGCGCCGTTTTCATGGCAACCCATTCGCGTGAATACACTCCAAATTGGCAAAACTGCATTTGATAGGGCTAAATAATGCAAATAAATTAATTAATAAATAAATGCATATTATTTGAAATCAGCAGCATGACTAAAATTTCTGGAGTGTGTATAACTTGTTTTTTCCAGTGCACTGGATATTCGAACGAGTGAGTTTTGTGCTGATTATGAGTTTTCATCTAAGAGGCTCATTAGGGGCTGCGTGCGGAATTTGTTCTTGTTTGTGGTAATCTGCCAGTGCATTTAGCTCTCAACAGTGGCCATCATCAGCTTTCCCAGCTTTCCCAGCTCTCCCTGGCATTTTCCTGGCACTTTCCCGGCCGTTTAATGCAGTCCAGAGAGCACTCGAGCAGTGGCAAATGCGGAAAATGCGGAAAATGCTTGAGGGGCGGCCGAGAGGAGAGCCTCTCACGGAAAAGTTGCAGTTGACACCATCTTATGAAATTAGTTTCTTTTTTCCCCAGTTTTGACTTGACATCGTTTTGGCCACTGCTGCCTCTTGGCCACTTGAGCCTCGCTCCTCCGAATCCTCCGCATCCTCCGCATCCTCCGCATCCTCGGCTCATTTCTCCGTGTCCACGGCTGTGTAATGTGAATATTCGTGCGGACATCCCTGCCAGCTCCAACAAAAGGCCATGTCCTGGCCAAGGCAGCTCCTTCTCCTCTGCTCCCAGCTCGGCCTTCCGAGCTAAGCGTTTTTGTTTAACTTTACACTTGACCCCCGAAATGGCCAGCACTTGAGTTGCCTTGGATTTATGCTAGGCTATTTTTTGGCCGTCTGCGGGCGAATTTTGCCAGACTTGCAGGTAGCTTATAGATCCATGGGAATGTTGCACAACATGCTTGTGCCGACTGGAAATGCATTTTGTATGTGATTTTTGGAGAGAATAATAAATTCAAACACTGCCATCAGATTGAACGGATTTTTACAAATTTATGGCATTAAACATTAAGACTACAAGATTTTAGTTTGATCAGATGAAAACACCTTTTGGGTCGATACTTTACGGCCAAGTGCTCGAGTTTTAGTGCCCGGATAAATTGACCTCCGAAGACGTCTTCGAAAAACGGCAACGTTGTAATTTTAGTGACAGTAAAATATTAGAAGTGAACGGCAGCTGGAAAAGAAAGCAAAACACAGACACGAGATACTGGGATCATGAATCTCATTTTATTGCAAATTAAGGATTAGCAAGTGGCAGAGTGTCATCTCGTTGGAATTTACGTTGTATGTTTATGAGGTCAGGCCAGCTAAGTGGAAGCCCTACAGAAGGCTTATGGAAGCCAATAGATATTGAAAACCGAGTACGGGTTTGACCTTTCTGGGCTGCCATAATTCTTGGCTCACTCTTTGTTTAGACGGGCGTGGTCGGGTCGAAACACACACTCACTAGTGGGCAAACAAATCTGTTTAATTAAGGCGAAAGTCCACTCCGGCCCAGAGGAGACGCACTGCCTCCACTGCCGCCACTTTGCCACTCACCATTGTTTTATCTCGCCCATTGGCTCTTCGGCTCTTTGGCTCCGGCTCCGTGTGAGCGATGAGGTGTTGGTTAGCCTTTGGGCCAGGCAAATTGCTTGGTCAGTTCTTTGAGGCCGGCAAACACACTCGCACACCCCGAAGAGTTCATTTCAGTCAAGGATGTGCAGGGCGGAAGACTTCCGGGGGAGGGCTATCCGGCGAGGGGATCGGGGGAGATGGCTAGGTGCCAGGCCGATAATTTGTTGCCAGCCAGTCGCAACCTCTCGTAACTTAGCTGCTGCCAAAAAAACAGAAGCTCAATTTATAAATGAAATCGTTCCGTTGCCTCCTTCACCACACGCAGAAAAAATGTCAACTAAGTGCTGGGATTATCCGAATTAATCACAAGGTAATCACCTTTAAAATATAAATATACCAGCTTTTAGCCAATTTGCCTAGAAAATTGGGTATAAATATAGGGAAATATGTACCCAAGAGTGAATTACGAAAATATGTATGTGAAAATGTGTAATTTTCGTGCAAATTGGGGTTGGCGATGGGTATTATTTTGAGTGCACATCCTATATACGCTTGGGATGTCCTTGCTTTTCCCCCAGGTTCCGCCTCTTTTGAGCGGGATTTGAATTTCTTTTCGTGTTACTTATCGCCCTGATAGATACACTTGGGTCCATTTGATTGCTTTGATGTATGGCTAGGAGAAATGGCAACTGCGAGGGAAAGTCCTGCAGAATAGTGGGAGAAAGGTCGTTGAGGCGTCTTTGATTTGTTGCGGGCTGAATGCACTTGAATTTGTTTGCCTTTGATGTTGGCACATTAGTTTCGGGTTGATTTGAAAGCACCACAGCATGCTCGCTTTATTTTATTTTACTTTTTTCTCTGAAATGAACTCTTTTGCACAGTGGAGCTGCTGTGCTGCAGAGCAACAGTTCCGCAGACCACAGGAAATGCATCGGCTAATCTATTTAAGCCATCTCGCCACGTGACGTTGCCCTCCCCCTTCCCCTTCCCCCTCCACGTGTTCTGCTGGCCAACAAAATTGCGGCAGGTTGTCCGTTACCCAGCGACATCTGCTGCATGCGACATCACGGCAAGTGGGGAATGGAATGGGATGGCATGGTTTTCCTGCCAAATCGCTGCCACAACAAATTCCGAGCGTCTGGCCAAATGAAATAGGATTCCGCAGTGAACCACATGGGTGGGGGTTGGGCAAGGAATTGTATAAAATAGAAATCGTGGCTCGGAGGAAACGTCATAAAAATCGTCTATTTCTCACACAGACTCTCCTCGGCAAATGTATACTTGAAATGCCCTGGTATCGTCATGGCAGCTCTTGCCAGGATTGCCCCAAAGATGCTGCAGCACTTGACGTGGCTGGAGCACTGCAGGGGGGAGCGGCGGTTCCTGGTGGGGGGCAGCGCGGAGTCAGTTGTTCAGGTGGAGCCTGTTGCCTGGCAACTTTTGCTCGACTTTCGCAAGCAACGCAGAAATCCACTGACATTTGGGCTGATCTTTCGATGCTACAATTTAATTTAGGTAGATGTTTTCAATAATTATTTTGCACGAAAACGAGCACTGCGAAAGAGCTTCAATGGTATAAGTTACCATGCCAACTAATTTATCGAGCATTTTTAATTAATTTAATTATTGTAATGACCATTAGATGTGAAAGTATTGCATTAATATATATGGCTGTTATCTAGCCATCCGAAAAAGTTCGAAAAGAGCATAGCATTCCGCTGTTTTTATTATCTAAACATTTCCAAGCATATCCAATTACGTGTTCCGCAGTTTTCGAGAGTTGCATAGAAATGTTTAGAGCTATATTTAATCGTTGGGCAGTTGGTTTCCGAACAGAAAACTGGCCAAAAATCAGTTGCCCCTCATGTTGTTTCCATTTCCACACGCTTGACCTGCTGGAAAAGCGAAGTTTGTCTATCAATGCATTGTCATAAACTTGGAGTGGTTTTCCAGGACATACCAGCAGACACTTGTTGGAAGATGACTGGGGGCGTGGTCGTTCCCGCCTCAGTTTGATGTACTTGTCCACGCTTACGTAATGGAGGGCATCACCTTGCTCACGGAGCATGAAACGCTCACAGCGTTCCAAGCTATCGGCGGCTTTTTCCTCTCTGTAGCGATGATCGGATATGTACACCTTTTCCATGGTCTCCGCAATGTCCTGCATGAAACTGAAGTTGATCAGGCAGCTGCCGCAGTCCTTGATTAAGTTCTGGTTGATATCCTGGGGTGGAATATCGAACTTCATCTGGACGAAGCAGTAGTTCTGCAAATTCGCATCGGGAAAGACTGGCCAAGACTTCACTGGGTAGGCATTGCTATCCGGTTTGCTGGGATGTCTGAAAAGGGGTTTCTTAATATCCCTGAAGCTGCCATCAATGATCGCCTTTTGCAGCTCCACGCTGACGGGCTCCAGGTTTCCCGAGGCCTTGGGCACCACCGAAGAACGCTGTAGTCCTGCACGAGGACGAGGCGCCTGGACCCGCTCCTTGGCGAACATCTGGGCGCACTCCTGCTCGCGACTTGGTCTGGCGTGGTCACAGTGCAGGGCTTCAATGTGCTTGAGTAAGGCTGCATCTCTGGGATCCATTGGCTGCACATTCTCGGGTAGCTCATCGTAAGCCTTCTGATTCATCAAATCAATGTCGAACAGCTCATGCAGCCCTTTAAAAAGTTGCGAGAAGCGAGTCTCCAGTCTGGGAATCAAGACCGGGTCCTTTCCGTACTCCCGGATAAGCTGTCTGCAGGGCAGATACTTGCAATCCTTCGGAGGAGTGGGCATCTCATTTGTGTAGACAATGGGGCAGATGAACTGATTGCTGCGATTTTTGTTGGTTAAAATTGGGTCCTCTGGCTTGAATTTCTACTTACTGCTCTTCATCCCGATTCCACTGATTGTACACGACCTCTGGTGCCATAATGGAGGAGTTTTCTGTTTTTCCTTGGCTTTTTCAGCTTTTCCTGCTCTTCGAGCTTCTCCGTCCCAATCGCTCGACAAGTTTTCCGATTTGTGCTTCGTCAGTCACTTTTCATTCTGACAGGTCTGTCAGCTGCAAGTTGGCAGCTCGGCGTGGAAAAACTAGGTGCCGATAGCGTCTCCTGTTGGAAGTGGATGGATTACCGCCTGCGGTTGGGGAGGGGAAACGCTGAAAATTAAACTTTAATAACAATTACACAACCATGAAAGTATATAGAAATTTACTTACTCTTGGAGCTACAGGACTTGCAACCAAAAAATGTGTTTTGGCTCTGAATAAAAAGGTGAAAGAAGCGCTGGCAGAGCCCAAGGAAAGCGGAAAGACCATTATTTCCCAATCAAAGCAGAATTAATTAAATGCTCAACTATCGATAAATTTTAGGAGCTCACTTAGTGTTGATAAGCTGGTGCGAAAAAGCATTTCGATTGACCAAAACGCGTTCCTAATCAGTTTTAGTTCGTCGAGCTGCCCACCTCAACTAAACTTGTTCGTAATCAGGCGACTTTAAAATCCCTTCCGTTTCACCAGCACCCACACATACCCCCACCTACCCCACCTGCTCCACTTGCCCCTCGTTAACCCCCACGAACATCCGCAGGATGCGGGCCACTCGTCCATAATGGACTCCGACTTGGCCACCTTAGGTTTTGGCCAGGGCTAAGCTCATTACGTGCCACGCCTCCAAATACAATTGCAAACTGCTGTGGTGGTGGTCGAGAATGGAAATTATGCACTGAGAGAAACGGGACGAAGGCCAACTGTTCCCTTCATAAGATGTAATCATAGGTATTGCCGAATTCCCGTATAACAGGGTAGGGACATATAATAACTGGGCCTCTGTAACTGACATATGAATAATACGGGCCAATTTGCAGTGTAGCTGATGGAGGGTGGCTCCTGGTGTTGATAAGAGTGGTTTGAGTCCTGCTCGTGGCTCGTGCCGAAATTAATTGATGCGACAATGGCTGAGCAACGACTAACTTGGGCCTCCAACTCAATTCAGGCCGCCACATCACGAGCTCATCATCATCATCATGGGTTGCAGGGGGCAGGAAAATTAGGAGGATGAGCAGGAGGATGAGGAGGAGGACGAGCAGGAGGAGGAGCTGCTGGGATGGGAGGTGTGGACGCCATGTGGATGCCGCATTCTGAGGGCTGTGCAATTTGGCGTGCGGAATTTCATTAGAGCCGCCGGAGCGGCCAAATCAAAATTTAATTTATGCTGACATTGAAGTGTCTGTGGGGCAATTAAATCGACAGCGGGGCGTGGCAGCCGCCTCCGCCGCCTCCGCCGCCTTTGTGTTGATTAAGTACCGCCGAGCAATATTTTAGCATAATGATGTCCTGGCACGCAGCCTGTGCCTCATCCGTTTGGATTTTTCCGTGCCCGCTCCTTCGGTAAGCCTTTCACTTGAGCCCCTCCAACGGGCCAAAGGATTCGGACCGCCTTTGATGGCTGATGGCCTGATGGCCTGATGGCCTGATGGGCTGATGATGGCTGCGCCTGATTAGCCGCGCGATTATCCTTTGTGTCCCGGGATTTACGACAGCTAAGCAAATTTTATTCGAGTTTTTTGACTAATTTGCTGATGGCCTCCTCGACGAACCGTCAAACATTTTGGATTGCACATAGTTCAGTTAGCAGAAGGGGAAGGCAGCTACACGCTTATGTTTAATGGCCGGAAATATGTTACGGGCAATCCAAAAATATACAAATTGATATACTTTATCTCAAGGGCGGACACTTCTCTCGGGATTACACATTTTTAGATGCAATTTGTCTGTGCTATCAAATGTATATTTTGGCAAGGAGTAGTTGCTGAAAACATCCTTGCGCGGCAGCGCAAACTTTGCTCAATTTTTTGTTAGCTTAAAGGGGTATTCGGCGGCTAAGTAGCAAAAGATGATTTTACGCAGCTAGAGATACTTTGTAGACAGATCCGCTACTTTACTGTTCAGTGGCTTAAAGTACTTTACGTTTTCTTAAACTACTTTTCAGTTGTTGCATTCTGCAGTAACTTTTTAAAAGCTGCAATTCGGCTGCAGTATACTCACTGGCATCTAAGTAGATACTTCTGCGCGGGTCAAGATACTTTTGTATCTGGAAATTGTGAGCGAGCTTAAAGAGTTTGGTAGGTGCTGTGGCTTGGATTCACTTTTTATTACCAGTTCGGAATAGGAAACCAACTTGCTTATTAACTCTTCTGCCTTTTGTCCTTGCCAGTCCTTCTAATCCTTCGAGTGAACCGCGTTACCCACTTTTCCATTTGCAGGACACTCCACTTTCAGTGCCTTTCATGTCATTTCCGGCTTAATCGCATAAAGAATTTCACTCTTCAAAAGGAAACCCTAAACAGCTTGGGAGTTGGTTTTGGTGAGGAATGATTTTCCTGTCTATTTTGCATTCATTTACGATTCTCGTTTTCCCGTCTGCCACTCGATGGTTTTTAGAGCCCGCATCTGGCCGAGTACGATTTGAAATGGTAGTGAAAGTCGGAGCTGTAATTAGGCTCCACAGCTGATTGGACACGCCCACTTTTAAATCGGCCATTCTACTAATTAAGTGCGAATGATGCTCCACTCATGGAATGACTACTCCCCAGTCCAGCCCACTTTTCCACAGGGACGTGGCGTTGACAATGCGGCATCGTTTACTGATTTTTCAATTGTCCCCAGCCGTCGAGAGGGAAAATCCTTTGTGGCATTGCGAAATGGCACTGAAAGGAGTGGGATTAGGAGTGGCAGGGGCAGGAGCAGGGGCAGGCATACCGATTCATTAGCATTATGCGGCCACCAAAGAATTCCAGGAATCCTTTCGTTCGCCCAGGTCCTGATCCTGTCCAGTCTCAGGTCAAGTTGAATTATTTTAATGATCAAGGACTAGGTAGCGGGAGAGGTGAAGGTGTCGCATTAGCATGCATTACATCAGCACGTCCTGTTGGTCCTGTTCATCCTGCTCAGTCCTGTTTTGGTGTTGGCGTTGCTGTGGCTGTGGGTGTGAGCATCCTGTAATTACTTTATCCGACATTCGTGTAGGATTTCCACTATTTTCGGCTGGCTTGACATAATAGCACACATATTTGGGGGACAAGGTGAGCAGAGGGCGGGGGGAAATGATGGAGATGGGCGTAATTGTAGCCAACGCCCGCCCACACAATTAGACGCCTTGCACATTCTCCAAAGCGACATAAATCATAATTACTGGCTCGACCTTCCCCACACCCTCTACTGGTGGGGCGGTGCAGAGGGGGTGGCTGGGCGGTGCCGAGCGCACTCGAGTGAAGACGTTTATTAGGCGCCATTACCTCGGCATATAAAGTGCTTTTGGAGGCACTGCGTCCGTGCTCTCGGCTTCCTCCAGCGATTCCTCCTACGGTTCCTATTCGACCGAGTGTGTTTTCTGGACCACTACAATTGATTGCACTGTGGTTATGGGTCGGGTAATTTGTTGGTGCCGTTTCGGTTTGCTTCCTGTCAGCGATTCCCCGGACTTCTCTTACTCCGTTTCTCCAATTCTCTTATTCTCCTATTCTCTGGGTCCCCGTGGCGGAAAGTTTCCTCTTGCTTTGCAAATGCACCTGATGACAAACTTTCTGGCCACTATTGAAAAATAGTTCGGAAACGGAAACTAAAAGCCTTTCATGGGCCCCTGGCCTATGTAAATAGCGATTAATAACAATTCGACGTTTATTTTTACAAATTTAACCAATTTATATACTTTGTTGTAGTTGTAGCCTATTTTTTATGCTAAATGTAACAAGAAGCTAAAACTATCTATCTAACCTGTAACAGCAATTTGTAGGATTGACATCACCTTGAATCCGTAATAATACAACCAAACTGCTTTCAACTTGGTTTCTACTTGAGCGGATTGAATGTAATATATTGTAATAAAAGAGAAAGTTATATAAATTGTTAAAGTTATATAAAAGTTGTGGACTCTTTTATCGAGTTTCCAACCTAAGTTTATGACACAGCAAATTTGATGTCATTGAAGGGAATTCTTATGTTCGACTCGAACTTGCCTCCTACTTTTTGTTCTTTATTATTGTTTATTTTGCTTTTCACTCGTAGCTTTTGGTGGCTCCACGGGTCAGTCGCAAATGAAAATTTAAGAGGCGTACATTATTTATCTAGCTTGCTGCTGTTTTTTCACTGCCATCGATTTACGGCTCTGTCAGCCTGTTTTTCACCCAGACCTTAGTATTTAGTTGCATAATTAATAGATATTAATTTGTTGAAAATGAAACATTCGCGGCTTTTGGCTGCTGTCTGTCCGCTTAGTGGTTTTTAATTTGGCATCGGGCATTGAATGGCGACACTTATCAACGCGTTTGGTATTAACCAAAATCCAATTAGACGTATGAAACACGAGCCCCTGAAAATGGTTGCATTGTTGAGGTCAATCGGGTCAATGGAATTCATTAGCCTCATCACATGGCGTAATTAGCCCGTGTTGGGGCCCTAACACACAACAGATTCAGCTAGCCTGCAGAATTGGTAGGAAGCATCAAAGAAAATAGTTGCAAGCGTAGAGGAAAATGTGTAGCCTACTTAAGGGGGCTGCTTTGGCCCGAAGCAAGTATCTATGTGTGTGTGTGCATGCAGGCGTTATTTAATTAATTCAAAGCCCGTTTGGTATTTTCGAAAGTTGATTATCTGCTCGCCGCCCCTTGTCGTTACATAAGTTTTTATCAGGGCGAAATTGCCTAGCTGTTGCAAAGAGGCAAACAGAGGGGGATTTCCCACACTTTCCCTGGGGTCGGAAAATGCTAGCATAGGTGTAGGGTGTAATTAGTTTCCAATTAAAGACCGCCAACCTCTGATCAAAGCCGAGTTCTCCAACTAGGGTGTATGACAGGACTCAGGACTGGGTAGCCAGGACTTCGAGCTCCGCCACTTGTTGTCTTTGTGCGCCTGTTTGTGTTGTGACAAGTAAAAACCCGCAAA